CTATTATCAATATATATTGAGAAACATATTTAGCTTAAAGAATTCTATTCATCTGGCTGCCCATGACCACCAAGATCTATAGTGTCCAGATCAGAAAAAGAAACTTCTAATTTCTCATCTACTGCCTTTTTTATTTGTTCAAATTTCTGATCCATCTCTTGTTTTAATTCTTTAAGTATTTCCTCCTTTAATTCCTTCTTTAATTGTGGGGAGGCTTCTTCAAATTTTTCTATTATTTTCCAATCAATATATTCCCCATCTAATGGATCCACTCCTTTTGTTAGGCATTCCTTGTATGTGGGTTTTTTAGAATACCCTTCTTCTTTTATAGTCGTTTTAATGGGTATTTCTGGAGTCTTCTTTCCTTTAGCTTTTTTGCATTTTTGAATATATTCTTTTGCAGCAGGCTCTAGATAATAATTTATTCCTAGTATTTTTCTAGCCTGGCTTAATGCTTCATCAATGTCTTTATATTTCTTCCAAGATATTCCTCCCATTAATTTAGCATCTATCTTTTGGGCCACAATTTCTTCAAAAGATATATAGACCCCTGGGAGCTTTCCATCAAATACGACATATATAGGCTTCTGTTGGATTATTTCATGATCTTCATTAGCTGGCATTAATAACCCGTTTATTAAGTGAAAATATTCAGAGAGGCTATTCAATATTGATAACATATATCCTTTTTCTTCCCTTTTATTATTGTATTGGTACCAAAAATTATCCAAGATGCATTCTTTCACTTCATCTAAGATTATATGGTCTTTTGGCTTAAATTTATATGAATTTGGTGGGAATATTCTGAGCTTGTTGTCATCTCCAAATGTGAAGCATTCAATTCCGCTGTAATTCATTGATCTTTTCATACCTGCAATTCAGGTAAACGAGAAAGCATGTCAGGCAAATTATTATCTTTCCCCTTAATATGTTCAAATATAACTTTATAACCGTTTCCTGTTATAATATCTTCAAATAAAACCCATCTTCTAGTTGAGCTTTTCTTGCTATTTAGCTGATTATAGTACCTACAAATGGCTTCACAATCGGTTCTAACCGTGAATTCTTTAAATCCTAAGTACAACCTAAAGGCATTGATTGCATTGATTATTGCCATGATCTCTCTATCTGTATTATTGACAGTTTTTAATTTATAACTTCCAGAAGCATATCTACATATTTTTTCTTCTGATTTAGCGGAAAATTTAGTAGGTCTTTGCTTTAATATAGCACCCCAACCGTATTGTGATGCATCAGTTTCAATGATAAAGTAACTTTCTTCTAATGGTAATTCTAGAGGTTTTAATTCTTTCACCTTCTCTTTTATTAGTCTTACTAATTTAATGTCTTCAGAATTAAAATATCTCTGACTATTTTTTCTTAATTTAGCATATAACGGTCCTGCTAACTTTGCTAAATTATTGATGTAATTTCTGGCATAATTTACAAGTCCTAAGAATTGCTGTAATTTCTTTTTATCATTCATAGCATCAGGAAATTGTAAAATTTTCTTAGCAATATGTTCTTGCAAATGAATTTTGCCCTCTCCTATTTCATGTCCAAGGAAGTTAATTTTTTCTTTGCATATTTCCATTTTCTTTTTGGATAATATTAACCCATTTTGTTCCACCTTTCTAAAGAATATTTCAAGATGAGCAATATGTTCTTTGTAAGTCCTTGAGAAGACTAACAGGTCATCTATGTAGACTAATATGAATTCTTGGTTTTCGTTAAATATATTCTGCATTTTCCTTTGGAAAATTGCTGGTGCATTTTTTAATCCTAATGGCATAACAAGCCATTCATAATGTCCTTGAGGACATGTAAATGCAGTCCATTCTATAGATTCTTCTGCCATCTTTACTTGCCAGAATCCAGCTTTCAAGTCAAATTTTGAGAAATATTTACTACCTTGTATTCTATTAATCCATTCTTGCTTATTTGGGATATTATAGGCATCTTCTATAGTATTATCATTTAGTCTTTTATAATTTATGACCATCCTAGATTTACCTCTAACTTCTTCTGCATGATTTCTTACTATGAACGCTGCAGACCTATGTGGACTTCTGCTTTCTCTTATGGCTCCTAGTTTCAACAGTTCTTCTATATGCATCTTAAATTCTTTTATGTCTTTCGGAGTTGCTTCTATTGGGCTAGTCTTAATAATATACTCTGGGTTTATTATATTAATTTTGCACTCAATAGCATTTTTTTCCCAATATTTCATAGGAATTTCTCCTATAATTTGGATATCTTCTAATCTTTGAATAATTTTTTCTATATCCCTTTTAGACTTAATATCCCTATACCAATTTGGTGCAAATGCTTGTAGTCCTATGCACTCTATATTGGAATTTGATATATAATAGTTGTCTATATTCTCACTAAGCTCATATTCATTAATTCTTTCTTCAGACTCAAGATTAGGTACTTCTAAGAATTAATGAATATATATATATATATGTATATATATATATATATACATACATACATACATATATATATATATATATACACATATATACATACATACATATATATATATGTATATATACATATATATACATACATATATACATATATATACATACATACATATATATATATATACATACATATATATACATACATACATATATATATATACATATATATATATATATACACATATATACATATACATATATATATACACATATATATATATAGTAAATAAACATGAGAAATATGTATTTATTGAAAATAGTCAATATTGTGTACGCGGCTATGAGAAGGAAAGGAAATATCACATAATTTCAAAAATAATGATAGTAGTTACAGAGATGAAAGAAACAATATATTGTAACATACCCAAATTCTAGACCTTAAAAATTTCCTGACAAAATAGCTGGAAGCTAAATTTTCCATTTTTGAGAGCCAAAAAAAATCATTTTTGAGAGCCAAACAAAATAGCTGCAAGCGCGATATCACGCGTTGTGGGGCCCGCAAGAGCGACCGCTTCGGTCTTGTTCTTTCAAATCGCGAGAGCGCGTGCAGTATCGCTCAACGAGAGCGCGATACCGATCCACTAATTGTGGTTATATTTCATGCGAAGATGGTTGATATTTCATGTGTGATTAAGCCATTGCTATGGAGAGTAAACGTTTATTTCATGATTTTTTTAGTTATATGTGCAATATATACATATATACATATATATACATATATGTACATATATACACATATATACATATATGTACATATATACACATATGTACATATATACACATATATACATATATACACATATATACATATATATATATATATATACATATATATATATATACATATATATATATATACATATATATGTACATATATATATATATATACATATGTATATATATACATATATATATATACATATATATATATACATATATATACACACACACACACATATATATATATATAGTAAATAAACATGAGAAATATGTATTTATTGAAAATAGTCAATATTGTGTACGCGGCTGTGAGAAGGAAAGGAAATATCACATAATTTCAAAAATAATGATAGTAGTTACAGAGATGAAAGAAACAATATATTGTAACATACCCAAATTCTAGACCTTAAAAATTTCCTGACAAAATAGCTGGAAGCTAAATTTTCCATTTTTGAGAGCCAAAAATAAAATCAATTTTAACCTAGGCGTGGTCAATCTAACTTGAACCTAACCAAAATTTGAGGACATATTAAAACCTTTTACATGTCTAACCTATATCATAGATGCAAACACAAGTGAAAGCATGCAAACTTGCATAAAACGTATTTTGACTTGAGTCCTTCTTATGCATTTGGATTTTCAATTCACATTTCATAATAGGTCCCATGAATAATAACTAAAATCTAGACAAACAACTAAACCATTAGGGCCTAGTGCTAATTATTGGAAAATAATACATAGAAACCATAATACACCTTAAAATATACCAACAAGGCCAATGTCAAGCCCCGCAAAACTAATTTGGTCATCCATCTGAAGACAAGTCATGATCATGGAAGTAAACTAATAAATTAACTCATATAGGGTATATTCTATCTTAATCATTTTTATAAGTATCCTCTTAATTTAATACTAAAGTAAACTTATACATAAATAGGTAAGAAGCTTGTGACATGTGTAAGTAACATATCAACATCATTTCAGGTTAAGAAGAGTCCAAATATAATTTTTATAAATATTTACATGCATTTAGGAAAGGGAAACACATATAAGAGATAAGTCTTACTAATTATCTAAAATAATTTGTGCAAGATAAAATCACGGGAAAATTCTTGTAGGCTATTCTCACTACATTCAACTCACTGTAATTTTGGTATAATTTAATAACTACATTTGATACCTCAAATAAATCAGACAAACCAGTCAAAAACTAGATTAACTATAGTTCTTAATAGGCTAAAACAATAGCTAACTAAAATATGCATTAAACTGCATAGAAGTATATAGAGGAAATAGTTTATTCAAATACTAGGACATTTATGATGAGTAAATATAAATTTTCTATAATTTATCTTCTCTGTTTAGTTCTCCTAAAAATTCAAACTATTTTTCAAAGAGCTCATCTTCTCATAATTTCTGTAAGTAATCTATCCATAATTTTTAAGTGCAACCAAAGAAAATGGAAACTAGGTACATACACCTACCTCCAGTAAAATCCACATGAATTGATATGCACCACAAATTAATCTATGAATTAACAAAGATGGAGAAGATAAATAATCCTGAAAATTCGTCCAAAACCAAGTTCACCAACCTTTCTACCCACCTCTCTCACTCCAACCTTGTTCCCTTCGCCCTGGGCCCACCTGGCAGTATCCCTGGCTTGCCCACACACTGTCCACTTCCTCCTCCACCGCTCTACCCGACCAGCAGACGAGATAACAGCCGGGAGAGAGAGGGAAACCGAGAGAACGATCTGCTCGACGCGTGGACTCGATGTGGCGTCGCCAAGCTCGCCTTCAACCTCTCCCAGACGCGTCGCCCTCGTCTCCACTTCATTTCCACACCGAGGAAGCCAGGGAGAGAGCTTCAGCTCTCCCTCTCCACCTCTTGCTCGTCGTCGACCGCCAAGAAGGAGGAGCTCGCATTCATCGTCGAGCCATCGTCATCACCAACTCTTTCTCGTTCCATATTCCTCACTTCATGCCTACCACTTTACCCTTTGACACCATCTCATTTCATCCATTGCAGCGACGGAAACGCCGCCGTGGCCCCCGGAGCTCTGCGCACCGCCGCAGCCGACATCGTCGTCGTTCCGACCGCTGTAGACCAAGCCGAGCCGAGCCATCACGCCAACGTCTTCTCCTTGAAGTCCTCTTCAAAACCCCTCAATAATCCCAGGCAATGGCGCAGCAAGTACGGAGATCGGCCACCGTCTTCTTCACCTCCGGTCGCCGTCGCCATTGTCGATTCCGCCTCCTCCGGTGAGCCATTGTCCGATTCTTCGCGTATACACTATCCCTGGGACCTCACTAACCTCATGGACACACATGCACGCTAGATCTTGGAGTCTTTTGAGCTGTCGCCGTCAACCCGAAGGAGTTTGCCGCCGCCGGACCTGTTCGCGAGCTATTACGGATGACCAAGCTTCGCCAACCTTTTCTAGAATCTCGGTGAGCATCCTGCAGCCTATAAAACATACATGCATGCATTTCTTTGGGTAGATCAAGTCTATAGCACGACATGCACCACCACCCGAAAACGTTTTCCGCCCGGACTCGCCGCCGGCGTTACTCCGATGTCCACTAACCGAGAAAAGTAGAGGGATGGAATCGCAATAATATGACCTTCATTTTGTCTTTTGGTCGCACCCTCAAACGAGCCACCGTTTGTCGCTGGCAAGCTTGAGATCGAGCTCGGCCATGGCCTGCCCTGTCTCTGCCCGACTGGAGAGGAAGGCAGGGACTTTGTTTTGAAAATTTGAACAATCATAGGGTTAAATATGAAAACATACAAACCAATGACATGTGGATCCATGGACCTAAGTGAACTTCACATGAAGGGCCTGTTCACTTTGTTGCCAAAAAAAAACCTTACTAAATTTTAGCATTTTGGCAACTGTGCAGCTAAAATTTTGGTAACTTGTCAAAATTTTGACAGAATTTCTTATATAGTTACTAAAATTTGGCAGCAAACTAAATGTAGCCATTTTTTTGACAACTTTACCAAAATTTGGTAAGGTTAAAAATGGCATCAAAGTGAACAGGCCTAAAGTCTAGGGACTTCTTTGAAAGATGGTAAGAGACTGACAGTGGACCGCCTGGAGATAAAATCTGAGAATATACAAGAGAGATACCTAGAACTTGTAAAATCCATATAAAATCAAATATAGATTATTTTGAGATGATTCAAATTTCAGTGAACTCACCAGAATATGAACTTTAAAGCTATGAAATAAAAACTTGCACTCACGGTACAAATTTCACCTCTAAAATTTATCTAAGTTAAATCAGACATAAAGCATGCACAAACTTATAAAATGCATAGAAAATTAATTTCAACTCAAATTGAAGCAAACTTAGTTTCTACAGATACACCAACATATTCTCTAAAAACAAAGTAAAATAAAACATATACACACTTTATATCAAATGCCTCTAAAACTATTACCTCTAAAATGACTAGTTTTAGATAAGCTGAACTTTAGAAGTTTATATAAAATTCATCTTAGATCCTTTTTGAGTAAACTCAAGTTCTGTAGAATCACCAAAATATTTATTTACAAGTTATAAAATAAAAATATATACTTGCTGTATAATAAAAGCTTCTAAATATTTATATAAGGAATAAACAACATTAGAGCATACGTTAATTTGTAAAATGTGTAGAAAATTCATCTTTAGTCCAAATGGAGTGAACCAAATTTCTATAGAACCAGCAAATAGTAAGCTTCAACATAGTAAAATAAAATATAGCACCTTTTGTACAGGTTATAGCTCTAATATTTAAATAGATAACCTAGAAGTTAATCACCTAGTAATGGTTAAGCAAAAAAAATGTGTAGAGGTATTTAAAATGTACTCTAGCTATGAATAAACCAAAACAGAACTTGTTAGACCAGAGAGGTCATATTTCCAGCCTTAGTTCCCAAAAACTTAGCATACTTAACTCATATAACAATTTCTAGGTTGGTATGTTAAGTAACTAACATAGAACATCCCTAATTATAAAATGTGTCGTAAAATAATATAAACTCTAAAATTATGAACTAAGATTAGATTAGTCAACTAAAATAATCATTTTAAACATCACTAGCAGGATGGAGCAAGTTATGGACCTAAATCTCCAAAGCCATGTACACATAGCGGACTATATGCCTAGAACACGTTATAACTTGCAAAATACATAAAGAATTTTGGAAATACAGATGAGTCGTATAAGAAATCTCTGTAAAAAAGACTTGCATGATAACTTGACATGATTTTCTAGAAAAATATATATTCAAGTGAATTCTCATAGTGAACTAATAATAAGATTAAAATAGCCTTCACTCGTTGTTTTTTTTGCATGCTAACTTGACATGATTTTGTAAAAAAATATACATTCAAGCGAATTCTCATAGTGAAATAATAATAAGATTAAAATGCGGAGGGGGGAGACGGGTATGTTTTTTTAGTTACTAGCAATAAAATAAAAAGCGGGTATGTTTTTTTTTTTAAAAAAAAAGCAAAGTGGGGGGGGGGGGGGTTTGGGTTTAATAAAATGCAGTGTGAGAGATCGATCCCTAGTCGGCTGGATGTAATGGCAACTCACCCACCAGCATGCTAATCTGGTTGTTGTGAAATATAATGAACAGTTAATAAATAATACATAGAATGGTGGACCGGGAACGTCCGGCCCGAGTCCGAGTAACTCGGGGAACCGAACCCACCACCGGTTCAACTATGTATTGGAGTTGTATTAGCTTTGGTAACATCCACAACGTACTATTTGAAGTGTCAAGCCAAACCAAAACTAGCCCTAAAACTCAAGGGTACCCCAAATTCCCCATCGCCGCCGCCCCCGATCCGGCGATGCCGCTGCGCCCGCCGCCCCCGCCTCAGGGATTCCTCACCGCGTATCCATCCGCAGCTTTCCCTCCGGTGAAGCGGCCGCATGAGGACGACCTCGGCGCCGGTGACGTGCTGACCTTCAGGTTCCACTCCCTCGCCGTCTTGAAATTATTCGACCGCATCCGCGAGTACCGTCTGCACGATTACCGGTACCAGGCAACGCGAGGCTGGTACAGCTCCGGGACGGCGCCGGAGGATGCTCTTCTTCCCTGTGCGGTTGCTCGACCACCGAGGATGTATGGGTGCGTGATCGGGGTGCAGCGCGGTCGGACGGTGGAGGTCGTCGACACCTCCGACATCTTGCTCGACACCGACCCCGGAACCCTCGACCGCGACTTGTTGAAGAAGAAGCTCGAGACCTGTAAGTTGTTAAACCCTAGCTAGGACTTTGCCGGTGCTTAATTGTTTGTGTTGTGATGTACATTGTTTGGTTATGCAGACAAGAAGGCGTTCCCTGGCTTGGCCATTCTTGGGTGGTACTCCATTGACACTCATGTGACGAACACCGATATGGAAACCAACCAGGCTGTGAGTATTTACAGCCATTCATTTAATTCAACTATATTTGTTCAACTGCTTAATCTGTCAGACTGTCATTTGGCTTAGTGTTTGGTCATATTATGAAGAAATGTTGCTGTTGGTATGTGAGACGTTGGTCATATTATGAAGAAATGCAAACAATTTTTTTCCCCTAAGGTTGCATTCAAAGTTTAACATTGGGGATAAAATGTTCACTGACTGCTGTACGAATGAAAACTCAAAAATGTTGATGAGGTTACAGGACATTGGGATATAGTTTTAGCATTTGCTTGAGCTCTTATAGAATCTGAGTAATATTTGGTTTTAAACTTGTACACGGAATGATTATGGCTGGTGTAACAGCCAGCAATAATAGACAATTAGATATGCTATGCTGGGATGTGCACTGTTCTTAAACTTTATGTAAAGCTCTAGCTTGTTTGTGTGGATGGATGGAATGGTTGAAATTTGGTTTTAGCTTGAGAATGTATTGGAAATATTTATCAAATGTATGTCTGTGTGATCTGTGCTATACATTTTGATTTTACTCCTTGCATGACATTTCTTCCCTTGTACTATTTTTATCCAGTTGATGGATGCTAGTGGAACAACCTTTTATCTTCTATTCAATCCTGCAATGAACCTTTCCCTGAAGGATCTCCCAGTGACTATTTATGAAAAAGGTAAGTGAAGTTTGAAATCGTTGAATATTTCCTACCGTGTAAACCACCAAGTTTAGCACTCAGCTTCTTATTTAATTGCTATGTTCATTAACTTAACTGTTTAGAGCAATAAATGGTTGTTGTTTAGTGATATGAAGATTAACTTTTTTGTCTCTGCAATTTTTCAAGTGCACTCTACCAATAGGAGTCCCACTCCGTTAATCTTTGTCCAAGGCAAATATAAAACTGAGGTTGGTTTTCTCCCTTTTGTTTGTTTTGTTACAAATGTTATGTACTTATGTACTAAATTACAACCTTCTTTGACAGACTGTAGAGGCAGAGAGGATATCTTTAGACCATACGTGTCCTGTAGTTTCTGATGTTAGTGTGCCACCTCTTGTTGGAAAAGGGTAAGTAAAAAAATCTTTTTCCTTTTTCTGAGATGACTTGAATCACTTAGAGATAAATGTGGGGTATACAAAATCACAAACAAAAAAAATAAATGCTGTAACTTTGGTTTTGCACTTGCAGGCAACATGCAAATATTATGCAGACTTCTGGATTTAAGCTGATGCTGTTTGAAATTCCTTCTGGTTTCGCGATGTTTGAAGTTTCACAGGAACTGATTGCACGCCCTAAGGTACTAAACTTGTCCTCCACCACCCTAATTTGATGTAACCTTAACTTGTCCTCCACCACCCTAATTTGATGTAACCTTATTTCTCATAATCAATTTTTTTTTTTGCAGGACATATGGGCACGATTTGCTTATCAGGATGACATTACAAATGTACATTTTACTTTTTTCAATGCTAATGTGTTTATTTCTGTTCTCGATCTCTTAGTTTTTAGGCCATATTTTGATGTGTTTCTTGCCATCCTATTTGCAGGTTATTGTTACCCTGGGTTCTATTCAGATCCATAACAAATCTGTTGCTAGGGATATTATTGTTGGTCCTGGTGACGAACTGAAAGAATTTATCCTAAGCTTTTGCACTCACAACTACTTAATTGTTCAAGATGTAGAGCTTAAAGATGTTATCGAGAAGAAACTTGTGAGTTTATTTCTATCGATTTTGCTAAATCTTTGTCGACAAAATTCTCCTTTGAAATCACTTGATTTTTCCACCTCCAACTGGTGTTGAGATTCGTGCTAATAATGCTCCAAAAAATTAAAGGTAGCTTACCCACCAACATCGGGGCAGTAGGATTCGATTCGATATAATTACAATGTAACTTCTATAGATATGTTGATAAGTTACTAGTTCAGCGTTCTTTTAGTAGTGTCATGGTTTCGAGTTTTTGGCTGTCCACGTAGGGTGCCTGTTAATCTGAACCTGGACGTTGCTTGGTAGCGTCAAGTAGTTTGTAGATATATAATTCATCTATTTTAGTCTGAACAGTACGCTGCTTGTTGCATGTTTGGTGGTTACAAAAATCCGGGTGATTTGATTGGAAAAAATTGTCGAGTGCTATATAGCTAGTCCCATTTCTATAACTAGTTGATACCCTTGTGCTTTGCTGCGGGATATGGGATATGTGGATGAATGCATATTATATATTATAAAAATGGTAGATAATGAATTGACATTGCTTCATATTGAGTTCTGAAAATACAATAAAATTGTAAATGATATGTCATGTTTGCATGATATTTATAATAATTGCTAGTAGGTCATAATGTGGCATACTTACATATGATTTAAATACTTTAAATAATGATTGCTAATGGGTGATGATGTGGCATACATGTTTAGCTTTAGGAGTTAGTAAGCATCAACTTTATAATCAGATACTTATGGGTGGATGTGATGATGTTTTGGGATGGAGGGAGTAGGATTCTTTTGTTTTTTGTGGAATAATCATTGTTTACCTAATATATCATATTCTTATAATTTTTCAGAATATCTATTGTTACTGTAATCCAACTGTTGTCGGTGAATTGACATGGGGACTGAACTATGTCCTACATAAGTTGTTACCTCAAGAGCAAAGTTTAACTCATGAGCCTTATCTTCCACTAAGCAAGGCAATGTCTAAGCAGATAAAAGAATATGGATTCAAAATCTCGCCACGAGAGGTAATTCTCTTTTCTACGATAGTTTCATTTTGATTGGTGTGACTTGAGGTCTAGCAAATATCTAAATATCTAAATATTTCAGTGGCGGATCCACAGGTGGGTGGGGCTTGGTGCGCAAGCCAGCTCCATCCCTTTCCTCTAATTAGCGACTAACGACTCTAATTAATTAGCCATTAGATGTATACCAGTACGGCAAAGAAACTAGCTGAAGCGCTCATTGTCTAAATTACGTTGCAAGTGTGAAATATGCTCACCATACAAATTGTTCATAGGTATGTGTGAATATAATGTATAGCTGCAAATTAAAACGAAGAAATTATAAGCAATAGGTTGTCTTTTGATCTAATGTGTTTTGGGTTTCATCTAATAATATTTGTTTGGTATATGTTAGTTTGTTTCAATCACATAACTATTTCTATACACGAGCTCCTCAATCACACAACTATTATATATATTAATTGATGTCTCATTATTTCAGATTGACAGAGAGTTCCTAAGAGCTATGAGTTTTTTAAATTATTTGGGGTATATGTCAGAGCGTTATTCACTGCTGCTAGATCATTTGTTTGGACAATATCGTAAGAATAATATGTCCGACATTGAATTTGCTAAATCAATTGCATCTCATCTTCATTCCTCTGAGGTCAGTGGGCAATAAACTGATAGTTAACTGAAGATTTAATTTGGTTATTGGCTAATATGATTTATTTTCTTTGATTTAATACAGGGAATTGTACCAAGAGATGAGAGATACACTAGAGCAGAGATTATGGAGTTCATTGACTTCATAATTGCAGCTCCTGAAAACAGAAGCCGGACGCTATCGTTCCTGCGGCGCATCGAGGCAGCTTCTATTGATGATTCTCCTCCACCGCCTTCACTGCCAGGAGGGATGGGTGTTTCGTTGTTGAAGCGTCTTCGTTTGGATTGGATAACTGTTTGTTGTCTAGGATGTGCAGTTGCTCTTTACCCTTTCTACCGCAGAGTATGAATGACTTTGTTATAAAATTCACTATGTTTTGAGGACAAATACATATTCTCTGACCTGCTTGATTAGTACCAAATTAATCCTTAATCAAAGACCATTTTATGTAGATTGCATTTTTTTTATTCTGGCCCTAGTATTAATTAATTTGGTGCTCCAAAGCATGATCACCGTTTGCATTCAGGCTATATGAACTTCTAATCTGTTTTTCCTTGAGACGGAAGATCCATAAAAAGCAAATTTGTCTCCTAGTCAATCTCCACAAATGACAAACAAACAGGGCAAACGACGTATATAAAGGAGCAGCATACATACTGTACACAAGGGACGAATCATCAATTAATTAAATTAAAGAAATAATAATTAATCAATTGCTAATGACGCTAATTAATTAATTAATTGCGCGAGTTTGTGAGGTCCCGAGGACTTGCCGTATTGCACCGTTGCCCTCCGGTGGTAAACAATGGTATATTTATGTCATTTCTTTCTAAATGTGTATATACCTATAAAATCATTAAAAAAAGGTGTTTTTTTTTGAAAAGTAGGAGAGATGAACACCAAACAATTTGTGGCTCGTCAAAATCAATGGGAGCATGTAGTTTAATATAATGTGCCATGTAATTGTGTGATACTTATATGTATGCCTGGACCCAAATGCCTGCACATGTTCGTTGCTGTACATGACCATACGAGTAGATTTAGTGCCATAAATATCGATTTGAAGTTTAAAGAGTTGTATGAAAAAAATCGATTTTTGCATGTGAAGCTTAAGTGGTCCGCATGTAAGAATGCTCGGACCTCTTAAGAGAGCTGCATGCGAAAATCGATTTTTACATACGGATCTTTTAAGGATCGGCCTTGAAGTTTGATTGGCCTCCCCCTTCCCTCTCCACCCGTTCAAAATTTCACCCCAACCTTATCTTCTCCTCATCTCCTCTCAGTCCTCTCTCTCTCTCACTTATTAATATGGGGCAATTATAAAATTTACCACTGCTTTAAATTGTTATTGCAAGACTGCTACTAGAAAATTGCAAAAATGCCACTATAACTGTCATTCGAGTGGCATCTTTGTAAAATTGAAAAAACCGGTGGCAAATTTGCAAATACCCCTAATAATATTATCCCCTCTCACACACTTGCTTTCTCTTTCTCTCTCTCTCACTCACTCACCTAGAACGGCATGGCTAGAGATGGCAACGGGGAATTCACCATCGAGGGTCACATCCGCGTCCCCATCCCCGTGGTGTTAAAATTTCACCGTCCCCGTCCCCGCGAATCACCACGGGGCTACATTTCACCCACCCCCGTCACCACGCGGTGAATTAATCCCCGTGGTTACCCCCGTAGAGAGAATCAGAGAAGGGACGACAGACGGTGGACGGCGGATGGTTGGAGGTGGCCGGCGAAGCGATGACGACTAGAGGCGGCGGGCGGCACGACGAGGCTGGAGGCGATGGCGCCGCGACGAGGGCTGGAGGCGGCCGGCGGCGCGACGAGGACTGGATGCAGTCGACGGCACGAGGATGGCTGGAGGCGGCGTGCTCGTCGGGACCTCGCACGTGCGAGAGGATGCGGCGGCGTGCGCTTCTGGAGTGGCGGTGGCGCGCGCGCATCTTGAGCGGCAGCGACGGCTATGTAGGCGTCGTGGAGCTTTGGAGGGGAGAGGGAGATGGTTGACTAGGGTTGGAATCTCTACTATTATAAAAATTGAAGATGTTTTTGTCTGTACTTTGGTACGTCATCCGTGTTTGAGTCGATTTTTTTAATTTTGTTGTTCTCTACTAAAATTTACGTTGTCTATTAAAAAGAAAAAACAGTCCGACTCAAAGAGGTAAAAAAAGAAAAAAATGTGTCCGACTCAAAAGCGATTAAAAAAAACCTTCTGTCGTCACTCGTCAGTAAAAATAGAAAAAAAAATCTAGAGTCCGACTTCCGTAAAAAGTCTCGCCACGGGTATTTTTTCCGACTTTTTTTTTTTGCATGCGAAAGAGTTTTTTTCGCACGCACTTACGCTCTTGGTTTTTTTGTCCCTTTTTTTAATCCGATCGCGCCTCCCGGGCGCTTTTATTTTTTTTCTTTTGTCAATTTTTTTGTCACCGGTTTTTTCTCCCGTGCGATTCTGTTTTTTCTCATCTGTTTTTTTAATCCGATCATTCGCCGCACGCCTCCCGAGTTGAACCTGGGCGCCGTGCCGCCACCATATCGATTGTGCGTTTTCTCCTCCAATTTGATTGCAAAAATCGATTCCTCATTCCTCCCTCATCATTTTCTCCATTATTTTCCCTTTCGATTCGGTTTTAATTTGTCGGATTTAATCTCCTTTAACAATTGCGATTCCTCCCTCATCATTTTTTCCATTATTTTCCCTTCCGATTCGGTTTTAATTTGTCGGATTTAATCTCCTTTAACAATTGCTGATGATGACGGCAATCTTCCTCGATCATTTTTATCCCAAGTTTTACACTATGATTTTAGAAAAAAAAATGAAAAGAGGAGATCGTGGATCAAAAAACCTCAACCAATTTTGGGTGATCGAAAAAGATTTGGCCGGATTTCCGGATTTGATGGGGAAACAAAGAGTTTTACACTCTGATTTTGGAAAAAGCGGGAAGAGAAGATCGAGTGGATTAAAAACCCTCAACCAATTTTAGGTGATCGAGAAAGATTCGACCAGATTTGATGGGGAGATTTGCTCCGGCAACCGTACGGCCACGGGACTAGCAACCGTACTGCCACGGATCTATCTTCGGGAGACTGGCCTAAGGCTAAAATGGAAGGAAGGCTATTGACCCTAAACCCAGGAAAAATTTTCATTAACTTTTTCAATTATAATGTATATAGCGATCCCAATATTTCAATTTATTACTCAGCTCTTAATATATCAGTAAAAAAACGTCTTTACCCGTTACAACGCACGGACATTTTTTCTAGTATATATATATATATATATACATGTGGTTATTGGGCTTCAATTTGTTGCGCCAAAATGACTATAAAGTCTAAAACATGTCCCTAGCTACTGTGAAATCGGGTCACTGCGGTGGACGGGGACAGGGAGTGGTGCACCGTCCCCACCTCCGCCATCCCCGATGGTGATGGGTTTTAGACCTTTAGATTCCCCATGGATGGTAGATATCAGCCATGCCATCCCTTAATGTGTGAATTCACCGCGGGGAATCAGTGATCGGGTCCCCATTGCCATCTCTAGGCATGGCGCGGCGGGCGGCAGCGGCGGCGTGGTGGGCGACAGCGGGCGGGAGCGGTAGTGGGCTCGATGGCAGAGGGGAGCTCGACCTAGAGCGATGGGCGACGTGCGTGGATCGGCCGCCCCCACCTCCCTCCGTCGTCGCCGGCGCCAGATCCCCCGCGAGAAGGCCGGCGGAGGAGGCGCCCAGCGCCGGATCCGCGCGGATCTGGGGACAACAGCCCTCCCCCGTGTGGATCTGGGGACAACCGCTCTCCCCCCACGCGGATCCGGCGGTGGCGCCTCCCCGGTGACGATGACGACCTCGCTGACAACAACGACCTTGGCGACAATGACGACCTCCGGCAACGCGGACTCCAGCGGCGGCGGTGGGCGAGGGCCAAGGTGGGGGTGGACGTGGGCGACGGCGGCGGCCCTCCCCCACCCGGATCCACCGACGGAGGCGGCGACTAAAGGGCGACGACAACGGTGGGCGGTGGATCTGCCGCGGCAGCCGTGGCAGCGGTGGATCTGGGTGGTGCGGTTGTACCAGCAGCTGGCGACGGCGATGTCGATGACAGGAGTAGTGGCGGCGGCAGCAGCGCTAGTTTTTTTTTCTTTTTTTCTTTTTGGAATTTTTTTTCGTGATTTTTTCTCTTTTGCATGCGGTTGTGATGGCCGCATGCAAAGACGGCGATTTTCGCAGACCTTTTTGTGCTTGTCGCCCGTATGCAAAAACCTATTTTGTAGTCGTGTCTTAAAACAAATCAGATAACTCCATTTTTCAAGTTTAAAATAATTATTTTTTATTAATTATGCGCTAATAACTTGTCTTGTTTTGTGTGCCGTTGAAAATCAAAAGCAAAACGCTGGAACGAATGGGCCCTTGTACATGAGGTATTCTTCATTTGGAATTTGGTTTACTAGACATTTTGGCGCACAAGATGCGCCCTATCGATATTAAAACCCAAATGTATCAATTCATTTAGACGAATCGTGTATCAAAACAAAAATGTATAAAAAAATATTACAAAATTCTCCAGTAGTGAATGAAATTACTTATCACATCACTGTAACAGCAAGTTGTGCATAGACACAATGTCGGCGGCTTAAAATCAAACCTGTAGTTAATAAAAATTGATCATCACATTATTGTAACAGCAAGCACCATGAACATGATCTAGTTGTTATTACAAATAACACTGATTCTCAATGTCACTTAGGACAACTGCTTCATTATAATAGTAAGCAATAACAGGATACAAATTTTGGTGCAAAATATATAAAATGAATTGATTCTCAGCAATGCTTTGCTAATTACACTAATTTTGATGCTCATGTCAATCCAATGAATCTTGAGTAGCAGGTTGAATTTGAAGTCAAAAGCATAGAAATAAGTCTGATTGGTCGCATCGATGAAATACTTCCCTCATTGAATTGTTGAAATACGAATTTGATGTCATGAAAGTGGATCTTATTCTTGACCATATACTGCAAGAGGCCTAGTTTGTAACTTGATGTAGCTTCAGTTCTAATCTAGAATCTTTAAAACAAAGGCATCATTGTTGACCTGGCAACTACCTGTTAAACAGGTATGTTTTTCCAACGTAATCATAATGTTAATTAATAAGAGATGAAAGTTAGAAATGGTAGGAGCTAGTTGGACCAAAATTTCAAAATAAGAAAATACTCCAAAAACATGTTAACTTACCAAAATTTGGGAACAGAAAAAAATTCCAGGTTATGTTCTAAAAGTAAACCAAATCAAAGTATCAACAGTTGCAAATATACGTTATGGGTTGTAATATGCATTCTAAGCCTGCAGGGAAATATGTTTCAGGCCAAGACTACAGTCCAGACTAATTGTCACTTTGTCAGCATAATGTTCCTGAGACATCAAAGTAAGCAGAGCGCACAAGTCAGGACATCGGCGAAATGATTCTATGGAGCAGGTTAGATGCAGCAAGGCAAAAATGAGACATAAGTTAGGTCCACAAAATGTTTACCAAATCAGTTGTTATGAACAATGAAATGCAATTTTCTACTTGGCTGTTGTATAAGTACATGCTTATCAGGTCATTACATCGTTACTGCGTCATCTGGAGAAAGAACCAAATTTCTCCTAGCCATCCTAATCAGTTCATGTGTAACATATCATTCGAAATCTGGGAACACATTATGATATATGAAGGCTGAACGGTTGCCCAGATTTATATTGCAGGAGTTGCAATGCCAGCTTCATTTTTTTTTCTCATTGGAGAAGAAAATGATCAGATAGCATTAGAACATCAACCAACACATCCTCCCATCTTTGACAGTTCCAATTGTGCAACCCAAAAAACAGTAGGATAGATAATAGGAGTTCCTGTCATTTAACATAAGATAAATCAGTAGATTATTAGTACTTGTTTGGTGATTAAATGTCGCAGCACACAACACAGCAGTGGTAGGCAGCCAACCTCTGCTCCAGCAGCACAAGGCCAAGTCTTGTAGCTTGCACTGAGTGACATTTTTTACCAAATCGATTGCTCCATTCCAGCCACAAACCATAAGAGAATCATTTGAGGTAAGGGAAAGGGAAGAAAGTAGACCTGACATTTTTTAACCAAATACCATCAGACCGGAGTCAAAGCACAAGCGGATCCAAGCAAAATCCACTGCCTAGATGCAGTGCTCTTGAGAATGACATCAAGAACGAACAAGTTCCAGGCAGATTCACTCCGCCGCAGTGACCGCCAGCTATCTCCTCCTTGATCTGCAACAAAGCATCAAGACCTAATAGCTCAGTCCCAAGCCCATCCCACCAACACACACGCACCAAAAAGAGAAAAAGAAAATCATCACCTCTCTTGGCCAGCATCCTCGCACGAACCGGTGCTCTTCGCGGGCGCGGCCGCCGCTTGCTTCATATCGGTTGAACCAGAGGTCAAATCGGGACGAGGAGAAATCATTTCCGATCCGCAGGAGAGGGGCGATGGAGGAGGAAGGGGACTGGTCGTCGACGGCGGAGAAAAGCGAGCGATGGCCGGCCGCCGCCGCCGTGAGGGCAAGGGAGAGAGCAAGAGGGGAACAGCAGTCGAGTGGCAGCTAGGTTTTGGGGGAGGTGGAGCCTGGAGGGATGTTCGGTTTCGCAAAAAGACCCCTCACTTTACGCTTTTCAGAGCGCACTCCTGTTTTCTGAATTTTCTCTTCTTAGCATAAGATATTTCATATTTAAGAGGGCCGGAGCGTAAGAATACATGGCTGAGGAATGTACGTCTAGGGATCTATAACAAATTATGGGTAAAATAGAGGTTTTTTTTGAAAAATGACCAGATCCCACAGCCCGGCGCTCGCTCGCGAAATCTGGCTACCAGAGGTGGCCAAACGGGCGGCACGGCCCGGCCCGGCACGGGCACGGTTCCGGCACGGCCCGTTTCGGCACGGCCCGTTAGGCACGGCTGATGAAACGGGCCGTGCCGTGCCGGCCCACGTGCCGAGCCGCCGGCCCAAGCACGGCCCGTGGATGGCCGGGCCGTGCCCGTGCCGGCACGGAACGCCCGCGGCCCACGGGCCGTTCGGGGCACGGCGGCCCGTGAAGCACAGTGTTTTTTTTTTTAAAAAAAAGGAAAGGAAATGTATAAGGAAAAAAAATTAAAAATGGAAATAAAATGTTTAAAAAAAAGTAATGATTTACTAATGTTAAAAAATGAAAAAATGGTATTTAAAAAATGGAAATAAAAGTTTTTTAAAAAAGTAATGATTTGCTAATGTTAAAAAAAAAGAAAAAATGGTATTTTTTTGTTGTGTTGAAAAATTTAAAAATATAGATTGTGATTCATTATTTTGAAATAATTTAAAGGTAAATCCACACTTGCGAAAATATTGCAAAAGAATTTGTTAAAAATAGTAATGACCTTTATTAATGTTTATATCATTACAGGATACAATGATACATGCTGCCTCGTTAAAAACTTTGTCATGTAAAAACTCATAGGGGAAAATGAGAAAACCATGACAAAGAAAAGAGTACAGCTCAAAGGTCAGAACTTACTTCTAACAAAATTCTACTGGGGTTGGTCTGGATCCAGGTAGAGTTGCTCGAAGTGGGCGGCCAATTCTTGGTTGTCCGCAGTGTATTGGGCATGTTGTCGAGCAAGCTCCCAGTCTTTAACGCTTAGTAGCATTTCGACGTGGTCGCTGCGCAGAGTCGTCCTCCGGTCTTCGATGATTCGGCCGCATAGACTGAAGGCCGATTCGGAGGACACCGTCGACACGGACACCGTCAACACATCCCGTGCTAGTTTTGAAAGCACAGGATATGTTATCTTGTGGTCATTCCACCACCCGAGGACGTTGAAATCTTGTGCTTCGTGGTGGATGGCGTCGCTGTCCAAATAACCGGACAACTCTTCGGCCACAACATGCGAAGAGGCGTCTCCACTTGTAGCCGACGAACTGCCACCACCTTGGATTGAACTTGAAGACGATCCACCCCAAATCCTACCCCACTGTATCTTCTTCTTACCTGTAGTGGGGATAGGAGGGGGTCTCCGCTGGCGAACTTCCTGAAACTTTACTTCATATCTTCCAAAAACCTCATATAATTTACGTCTAACCTCAGTATAAAAAGAACTATAATCTACACCTATAGTATCTCCAACAAGTGATAAAATAGCAGACAATCCCCTTAATTTACACCTAGGATCTAAAACAAAAGCAAGAGCATACAACATAGGTATATTTTTCCAATATTTCAAATATTTTTGTTTCATGTGAAAGACAGGTTCAGTTAGAACGTCATCATTTTCGTATTCTTTAAATAAAGTAGCAATTTCAAGAAGGTTGTGCAAAATTATATTAGCAGTTGGATAATAAACATGTGACAAAGTTAGAGTACAATCATAAAAAGTTTCTAGAAATTGGTAAAATTTTTGGACAATTGCCCAAACATGCTCGTTCAGTACTGAAGACCCGTCACTGTTTCTTGGGCCACCACGTGACTGAACAAAATCAGAAAGTAAACTACTATAAGGTAAAACAACTTTTAACATTAAATACGTTGCATTCCACCGATGCTCTGCATCGGTGGCAAACTTACGAGCTTCCACACCGGCCGCATTGCAAAACCTCTTCCATGCAGCAATCCGCGGGTTAGAAGCAGTTAACCACGCGATTGCTTGACGAACAGCATTGATGTGGTCACCTACCCTCTTCATGCCAGTCTTAACAATCAAATTAATTATATGACATGCACAACGCTGATGGAGTAGAAAAGATTGAGCATACACACAAAATAAAGGTTGCATGGCGCTTGAGGTGACCTGTACCACCAGAAGAACGAGCAGATAAAATTTGCCTACATATTCTACAACGGGCTTTCGATACCTCCCTTCCGTCGGGGCATGTTTCCTTTATCTCGTCGAAGCTTTGCCACACACCGGAGGTTCTCGATCTCTTCGAGCCGGTGTGTGTCGAAACACTTCCGCTCGCGGTTCCGGAAAATCCTTCCGAAGCTGTCTCCGCCTGAACCGGTACCTCCTCAACGACAGCCGTATGAACCGGTACCTCCTCCACAGATGGTGGAGTTGGAGCCGATCCGGAGGTACCGTCAAACCCCGACATGTAGTTGGGGTCGAAATCACCCAAGGTGAACGACGGCGACTGGTATGGAAAGTTCGGATCCATTCTGAAAATTTAAACCGACATAAACAAATTTTCGAATATTTATTGAATTCACAAACACAATACAAATAATACACAAATTTGAATATTACTTACATCTTTCCAACCGCGAGCTGTTCAAACCTCTGCGATCAAACTGTTGAACTACGAAACTAATTTTGATTTTTGACAAAATTTGAGCAAATTTTGTCAAAATCAAAAAAAATGCACACTTGAGAACAAAGAGAGCACTTAAAACACTTGAGAGCACAAGATGAGGAGTGTGGGATGAGGAGAAATGGCTGGGGTTCATGCCCTATTTATAGGGCGAAATTTGAGATTTTTTGGAATTTTTTCGAATTTTTTATGAATTTTTTAGCCTCCCAACGGTTATTTTCAAATTTGAACGGTCAAATAGCCGTTAGTGCCACTGCCACGTGTCGCCTTCCCGTTGGACCGCCGCCCGCCCTGTCACGCGCCGCCGGCGCTTTCGGCCTGACGGGCCGTGCCGGGCCGTGCCGTGCGCGGGCCGTGCCGTGCCGGCCTGCTACAGGAGCCGTGCCGTGCCGTGCCGGCCCGCGGGCTCGGCCAGCGGCCCAAGCACGGCACGGCTACACGGGCCGTGCCGGCACGGCCCGTTACTGTAGCAGGCCGTGCCGGGCCGTGCCTGCTACAGGAACGGCCGTGCCGCGGGCCGCCCGTTTGGCCCGGCCCATTTGGCCACCTCTACTGGCTACTTGGGCATTCAGGGGCGACGTGGATAGCGCGGCGATCGAACACGCGACTCCAAATCGCTGTGGGAGCTTCAATCGGGGGGAGGTATTAATATAACCGATTGCCCTGCATCTCGTTTCATACTCAAGTCTTTTTTTTTTCCTAGGTAGAGGTAACGAAGACGAGGAGAAGGGAGATGGAGGAGAAGAGGTGGCTGGAGGTGATGAACAAGATGATCAGGCATTCAGGCCGGTCTGGAGGCACAAGTCGCCGGAGATGAACATGTACTTTCAGTTTCTGAATCTTACTGGTTTCTGAACTTAGTGCATGTTGACGCTGAACTCTCCGCACACTGCATGATGCTCAACTTAGTACTCCAGGGAATTGTCACAACTTACAGTTTCTGCATGATGCTAAACCCTGAACTTGCTCTTGCAGTATTTGTATTTACTGGTTTGTCAATTTATTCTGAACTTTGTAGATTTGTTTGTTGGCCATGAAACTTAGTACTCCCTCCGTTTTACAATGTAAGTCACTGTAGCATTTCCCACATTCATATTGATGTTATATATATATATATCTAGGTTCATTAACATCAATATGAATGTGGAAAATGCTAGAATGACTTTTTACATTGTGAAACGGAGAAAGTAGATATGTTTCAGTTACAGATTCTAGTGACTTTACGGTTTCACCTTCAGATTCTAGTTGACTTCACAGATGTTGAACTTGTAGATTTGGCCATGGAACCTAGTAGATCAGTTTCACTTCAGTAAATTGTTCTGCCTGCTGAATGCTTTGTGTGAGCCTCTTGTTACTCAGTAAAAGGTGTTATTTTTAGAGATGCACATTGGGGAATAGCAGAGATCTTATCTGTAACATCTGAGAAATTTGTTCATCGTCAATTCATATTATTTACTAGTTTCATCATGACTAGCCACATAAGTCGTGCGTTGCACGACTCTTAATACCTGTTTCAAAAGTGTGTATATGTGGGCTGTCACATGTGTAAAAGAGGGAAAGGAAAGCCCATATAACAGCTACTATACATGGTGGGAATTATCTCAAAATACTGCTTGATTATGAATTGTTAGGATCAATACTGACAGCAAATTCAACATGTTGTTTGTCAGTGTTCCACAAGATAAAAAACTATTCTGGAGAACTAAAGAATGGTAGTCAAAATGTATCTATTGCTTTTCAGCATTATACAGTGCTATATTCAAGGTGATTATGCTTTAACATACTGCTTATCCAGAGTCAGAGCTCAGTGCAATCATTATCTACCTCTTTAAATCTAATGAATAGAAGTTTACACCATAGTAAAAGAACATATCGCAAGCTGTTAAGCAACAGAAGTCTGAAACATATTTCAAGGAACATATGTGCAGTCTCCATTGCAATAAGGAACTTTCTTTCTTACAATAAGGATGCCAAAATAATCGTCTCCATTGCAATGTTTATATTGATCCAAGAAAACGATCATAAGCATAGCGTTTTACCGTTTTCTTGGATCATCTTCGAGTTTTATCTGGTTTCTTTCTTTTACTGAGTGACAAGAGGCTCACACAAAGCATATCAGCAGGCAGAACAATTTACTGAAGTAAATAGAAGTCCACATAAAAGGTTAAATAACAATTGATGATCATGATCTCTCTCAGCTCTTCTCGCTTGCTTGTTCGGCTATTGGATTTTCCGGAGTGTTCAGTTCGAGGCCTCCTGAAGAATCATGAATTTTCTTAACCATATTTGAACCGC